ACACTGATCAAGATAAAGTAATGAAGTATTGGAGACTTTTTTAAAAAGATGCTCCACTTTCTACGTTTAAGAGCATTCTGACGGTCCCGGTGTTGAGTATGCTGTGCAACGCAGACACCTGAGAACTGTTTGCAGTCCTTCTTCAAATTCACTAAATTTTATTCGTTATTCATCGTGAGACAGTCTTGCTTCGGGCTTGTTGCGAAAAAGTCCTAGAAACGGGGTAAGGCAATAAAAGAAGCCCGCAGGTAGGCCAAAGCTTGAATCCTATTTATGCCCAATAAGGACCCGTCTTCCAGACCGCTTTGAACGTGTCTTTTTGGATATAACCGCTATACTGAGGGGCCATTGCAGTAGGATCCTCTTTCCAAAGAAGACCTCGGTGTCTCCATTATATGGTAACCTCCCATCCCACATCTTTTAGCAGTCTGTCATGGTTTCAGACGCAGGAGAAGAAGAAGAAGAGGGTGCGATCACTGGGACTAGACGTTTATCGGTCTGACGTTTCGGATTCTCACTCGAACTCATCCTCGCAGATAAGGCTGGCGAGGGTACAAAGACTGCAGTAGTTATCGTGGGTAGCTGCCGTGTAACCACATGCGTATTATGCTTAACAACTCTCGCGAGTACCGTTGGGGGTCGTAATTGATTTGATGATGGTTTGTCAGTCCATTTACGAGTCGGCTCCTTCTTAGTGTAACTTCTGTCACTCTCACGCATGTGAGGAGTGTGTGCGTGTGTGTATATATGGGTAGAGTGAGAGAACTACCACCACGCGAATATCGTCAGGAGTGAGACGCCTGAGAACGATGGGAAAGACTCTCAACAAAGTGGACAGGCTTCATTGGTGCGATCTGGCCTTGCAAGGTTCTGAGGTGGATGTGGGTAAATCGACTAAGCACTCACACACTGAGTGCCCCTGCCATTGCTACGAGCAACCAATGACTGTCTGCTTCGTGGACTTTGCTGCAGCATTGGACTCCGTCTACCATGAGTATTTATGGCAGATAGTCGAGTTAGAGGGTGTCACGGCAGAATTAATCGCGGTGATTGTCACCCGGTGCATACGCTAACTAGACGCATTGATGCTAAATTTTAGCGAGCGCTTTCGGTGACCGTCAGCCGTCTTGTTTCACGATTGGGTGTTGAAGTTACACACAGTCTGGAGGTAACCACCAGACGCCGGGTAACTTCACGAAAAGACCCACTGACAAAGTAAGAAACCGCTGGAGTCTCTTATTGGATCTGGTGCAGTTGCAGCCAGAACAATTACTTCGGGGACTGCACCGAACGCGAATGGCCCAGCACACCAGCTGCCAAGGCGTGGCTCATTCGACGAGACCCGGCCACATTCTAATTCGATGGGGCTGAAACTCTCGCGAGAGTTGGCAATCGCGTGATCTGCGAGCAGCCTGAGTCATGGTTCACTAGGCACCAGTACAATGCAGCGACCTGCAGCCTCCATATTCGGTGCAGTGGCTGAGTAATTAGCTGTGTAGGGGACGCGTAGATGAACAGTTTCTAGCGCCACTGTCAGTTATTCAAATGAGAGAGTAATTATCATGCCAACATCCAAATACGGTGATGAAATGCAGCGATTAATTACTCTAAGACGGGTCATCAAACAATTATCGCAGCTAAGGTTGTAGCTATCTGCACCAGCGTACCTGCAGAGCTCGACATAAACGTTTGGCCAGCAATGAAAACCGAATACCTTGATGTTCCAGAACCACTTCCAAGTTTTGACGAACTGTGCCCAATCAGGTTCTGAGCCGACCTCTTTTCCGACTCCTGTGAGGGATTGACGTCGATGCAAAATGTGTTCCGCGTCGTATTTTTCTAAACCCTTCCCAACCGACATCCTCTTTAGGCGCGTGTTAACCCACTGCGTGCATCTTCACACACGGTAACTCGGCTCCGCTGGCCAAATGGATCACCGCCTCGGTATCTCCGAGACGCGACTCCATCTGCAACACCGTAGGAGGCCACAAGATAAGTGAGCCCCCAGGCAAGCCAACATTGCTCTGTCGTCTTTACTTTGCTTGTTCTTGCTCGCTTGATTCTGTCTGCTTGTTTGTGTTTGTCCTTGTTGTAAGTCAAATGCCGTTCCGTTGAATCTCCTCTGTCTACCTTTGTTCCTACTTGTTCTTGCTTGCCTGCCTTTCGTCTGCTTGTTTCTATTTGTATTTTCTGTACGCTAAATGCCGCTCTTTTAAATCTGTTTGCTCACCGCTTATATATTTCAGCAACCAGCGAGCTTACAGAAAGAGATGAAAGTCCTACATCCCGCCTCTCTACCCTTCCTCCATCCGCCTCTCACCTCCAATTCCTACAGCAATGTCGAAGGCAGGCCCAGGCTAACTCAGGTCGTTCTTCCAACAGACAAAAACCGTGGGCCATAGTGAAGTTCGACAGCCGTCTAGGACAACTGAGAAGCCCTATGTAAGGAGAGCACTGCTCACTCCTGCGAGGGGGAAGGGACTAGAATGGGTGCCATAAACAAATGCTGGGGAACCACGTCGCCTGCAGGCTGATCGTGGACTCAGACGCAAAACTCACGGTTGAAACAATCAAACAGAAATAACACTCCCTCCTGCCCCCTCACCCTCCCCGCAGTCCCACCCCACAGGTTGTTAGGGTGAGTCCGCTCAATCTGGAATGTTCGTTCCCTTTTAGACAATCCGAGGTGCAATCGGCTGGAACTGAGGACGGCGGTAGTGGCACGGGAACTGGCGCGCTACAAGGCGGATGTCGCTGCACTCAGTGAGACCCGGTTCTCCGAACAAGACCAACTGGAGGAGGTGGGTGCCGACTGCACCTACTTCTGGAGTGGCTGCCCCAAGGCAGAGCGACGGGACGTGGGCGTCGCCTTTGTCATCCGGAACGACATCGTGGGACGACTGCCCTGTCTGCCGCAGGGAATCAACGATCGCCTGATGAACTTCCGCCTGCATTTCCGTGGAGGGGGGGGACGAATTAGCTACAATCACTAGCGTTTACGCCCCCGATGACCAGCTCTGACGAGGTGAGGAGCAAATTCTGAGAGGACCTGCATGCCCTCCTGGCAGCTGTGCCAAAGGCAGATAAGTTGATTGTCCTTTGGGGACTTCAACGCCCACGTCCGCGCAGACCACGCTGCCTGGAGAGGAGTGCTGGGTCCCCACGGTCTTCGCGGTCTTCGCGGCTCAAACGACAATGGTCTGCTGCTCCTCCGCACCTGCGCAGAACACCGCCTCATCCTGACGAACACGTTCTTCTCTCTGCTGGAGCGAGAGAAGGCCAGCTGGAGGCATCCTCCGTCGCGTCGGTGGCACCTGCTGGACTATTTCCAGGTGTCGACGAATGGAACTATCATCGTCTTGTCGTCTCCAAGATGTGGATTCACCTACAGCTTCGCAGGGGACCTCAAGATAAGCGACCCCCCAGGTAAGCTGAATACTGCTTCTTTGATTTTACCTGCTCACCATCTCCACTTCAGCAATGAATTAGCTCAGCGGTTAGTCAGCCTTACACTTGTCGCCACTGACGAGAACGCCTCCATGTGGTACCGATTGTGTCATCTGCGGGACACAGTCCAGTCGACGGCCCTGGCTGTCCTCAAGGTAATCGAACCCCAGGTAAGCTGAATATTGCGCTGTTGTCTTTGCCTGCTCACCATCTCCACTTCAGCAATGAATCAGGTGAACGGCTGGCCAACATTCCAATCGCTGCTTCTGTTGACGAGAAAGCCTCCATGGAGGACCGATGATGTTAACTGCGGAACGCAATCCAGTCGACGGCCCTGGATGTCCTCGGTCGCGCACGTCGCCAAAAACAGGACTGGTTCGATGGCGACGACGCCGCCATCAGAAACCTGCTCGCCGACAAGGACCGTCTGTAGAAAGCCTACGTCGACCGCCCCACAAGCAACAACAAAGCAGCCTTCTACCGTAGTCGCCGCCTTGTGCAACAGCAGCTGCGCAAGATGCAGGACGCTTGGAGGTCTCGCAAGGCCGAGGAGACCCAAGGTTACGCGGACCGCAACGAATGGAAAAATTTCTTTTCCGAGATCAAGGCTGTCTATGGTCAGCTAACCAAAGCAACTGCTCCTCTTCTCAACACCGACGGCAATACCCTACTCACCGAGAAGATACGAATTCTTCAGCGATAGGCCGAGCACTTCAGAGGAGTCCTCAACCGTCCCTCCACCATCTCCGGCGTCGCCATCGTCCGTCTGCCTCAGGTGGATACCAACGCCGACCTCGACCTCCCGCCCTCTCTCCACGAAACCATGAGGGACGAGCAGCAGCTCTCCAGCGAGAAAGCGCCCGGATCGGACGCGATCCCTGCTGAGATCTCTAAACACGGTGGCCCCCAACTCATGGATCATTTGACGATGCTCTTCCTGAAGATGTGACGTTAAGGAGAAGTCCCCCAGGATTTAGAAAACGACACAATCGTTCGTCTCTATAAGCGGAAAGGTAACCGCCAGCTCTGTGACAGTCATCGAGGCATCTCCTTGCTGAACATCGCAGGGAAGATCTTCGCTCGCATTCTCCCAACCACCTGAACCACCATCTGGAAAAAAGTTTTCTGCCAGAAAAACAGTGCGGCTTCCGCCGTCATCGTGAGACCACGGACATTATTTTCGCCACTCGTCAGCTGCAGGGGAAATGTCAGGAGATGCGGACCCACCTATACTCTACCTTCGTGGATCTTACGAAAGCGTCGGACAAGGTGAATTGTGAAGGACTGTGCGAAATCATGCAGAAATTCGGCCATCCCGAACGACTCACCTTGATGGTGCGTCAGCTCAACGATGACATGATGGCGCGAGTCACAGATAATGGAGCTGTCTCAGAGGCATTCGCAGTGACTAACGGAGTGAAGCAGGGCTGCGTCCTCACGCTTCTCTCATTAATCTAATGTTCTCTGCCATGCTAATGGAAACTTATCATAGCTAACGCCCCGGGGTTCGCATTACCTACAGGACGGACGGCCAACTCTTTAATTAGCGGCGGATGCACTTCCAGTCGCGTATATCTGCAACTTCCATCCATGAACTTCTCTTCACCGACGACTGCGCCTCCGACGCCACCCCCGAAGAGGACGTGCAAGATAGCATATACCTCTCCGACGCCGCCTGCGACAATTTTGACCTGGTCATCAACATAGAGAAAACGGTGGTTATGCATCAACCGCCAACCGACGCTGCCTGGGTCGTACCCTAAATCAACGACAACTGCGCCCAGCTGCAAGCCGCGGACAACTTCACCTACCTGAGCAGCACCCTCTCCCACACCCCCAAGATCGACCACGAAGTGGCCGCCGGATCTCCAAGATCAGTCAAGAATTCGGCCGTCTGAAAAACAGTCTGGAATCGCCATGATCTTCATCTCAACACCAAACTGAAGATGTACAAAGCGGTCGTCGTGCAGACGCTGCTGTATGGAACGGAGACCTGGACGGCGTGCTAGAAGCAGGCGCAAAGACTCCTCCATTCCCATCTCAACTGTCTTCAATGGGTACTGACGCTAAGATGGCAGGACCGGATCCACGACACGGATGTGCTGGAGCGGGTGGGAATATCAGCATCTAGGCCATGCGGAAACAGCTTCAACTGCGTTGGAGCGGTCACCTCGTACGGATTGACGACGGGAGGCTACCCAAACGACTCTTCTACGGAGATGTTGCCACTGATTCCCGTCGACAAGGAAGCCAAGTCCGTAACCACAAGGACACTACGAAGACCTCCCTGAAGCGTCCCAAGATCAACCCCGCCAACTGCGAAGACCTCACCCAAGACCGATCGACCTAGAGGAGTAGAGTGAAGACAGGCGCAACGATATATGAAGCCAACCACACCGCCGCCGCCAAAGCCAAATGTGCCCACCTCGCAACGCCTACTCTCAACCAGCTTCGACCTGCCCACGCTGTCAGCGGACGTTCCGGGCACCAATCGGCCTTATATGACATCTTCGTACCAACTGCGGCACCCGGACTACACCAGCTGCTGTCTCCTCGTTCAGCTCCGCCTCATCCTCCACGCCAACATCTAACACTGACTGCGCGCCCAATCCCCCATTACCATCCTCCTCCATCACTTCCTCCTCTTCCTCCAATTCTTCAACATCCGCTACGACGGCTCCTGTATCCACCGCCACCGCACACAATCCTGACACATCAACAAACAACAACCCCTGCGATGTGAACTCAGTTCATACCTGTCCTATTTGCGGCCGCACCATCACCTTACCCATCGGCCCGGTCGGTCAATTGTGAGTTTATCGTACAGAGACTGGTGAGCCAGTACCTGAAGCACCAACCTGCACTCGCCGCATTCGCCTCCACTGTCCACACTGCCCTCGCACATTTACTCACCGCATGGGTCTATTTGGTCACACGCGCATCTACGAGAGTGGAATTGACCGCAGTCTCGACACACCTAGCACCTCTTGCACATCCATCATGTCTAGCTCAAACCACACTCCCCCACCCAGCACACCCACCACCATCGGCAACTCCACCAATGCCACCATCTCCGACACTGACACCACCGGCTTCTCCTGTCCACACCGCACCCGTACATTCACCCCACGCATCGGCCTGGTCGCTCCCTTGCGAATCCCCCTGACAGAGGCTGGCGAACCGGTGCCTGGAGCACCAAAATACACCAGAAGTATCCGCCCAAACTGCCTTCACTTCAACTGCGCATTCACCACCGCATGCGTCTATTAGGCCACGTGCGCATTCATGAAAACCTTCGGTAGACAACCGCCAGCTAAACCACACCATCACATCTTCCCCCACCTACCTCACGCAACATCATCATCCACCACAAGCATCCAACTGCCACCTCCCATGCAAGTGAGAAGTTTGCGTCTTGACTCCGTGTCCATGCGACTCCTCTGCTGCATGTGTGATTCGAATCTAAGGCTCTCACGGCGCGTCAAGCGCTGTGGCTTTGAAGGCTGCTGACTGACGCCTCAACTCAGTCCATTCAGTCTGACCAGTTGTGTGTGTGTGTGTGTGTGTGTTTGCGTGGAGTGGCGGACTGGTGGGCTGAGAGCCAGGTTGCAAATGTTCCTTCTAAACGTGACCAACGGCACTCTCGCGCGTGTGAGATGTACGCCGCTCAACCCCCCTTGTGTGAAATCTTGATGCTCGTGTTTGAGGGGTCAGGACGTGCAAATGGCGCGCACTGACAAGGCCACTTGATATGTCAGTCACCGCGCCCATTCCCCGCTGCAGTCAACTGGCCGGCTCGGACAGTGACTGGGGCCTGGGAATAGGGAGAGTGAGCTAGAAAGCGCAACACACTTTCCTCATTATAAACAATCTGACGCGCTTTAAGCCAGCACTGTGCGCAGAAAGCCGTGGCTTGGAAGATTGCCGACTGACGAAAAACTTGGACCTCGCAGTCAGCCCAGTGTTGTGTGTTTGTGTGGGGCGGCCGACTGGTCAATTAAGATTCAGGCTGCAATGGTTCCTTCTCACTTTGGGTTATGACAGTCCCACTCCAATGAACCCGAGCCAGGTGTGACGGCACGCCTAGGTGCGGCGTCGGCCGTATCAGCCACCTTTTTGCGGTCGGTTAAAAATCTGGTCATTTTCCGTGTGGACGAGGGGGTGTGTGGAGTGAAACGCCAAAGCGCAGGCTCGACCGTGTCATCCATCTGCTCCCTCCCCAGCATCCGATCTTCTTGACTCTGTCTTGACACCGGACCTAGGTGGGGGAGGAGGAGGGAGTGCGGTAGATGCTGTGCAAGTCTACATTTAGTATAGACTAAATCAACCACATGTCACCGTCCCTGCTCTCACCTTGATGTGGGGCGCACGGTGGGCATCGTCGGCAACGACGGTTAAACTGTCATGGGTAGTGCCGCTCAGTTGATTATTGACTGGTTAACTGACCTCGTTAGTCGCAGGTCGTATTTACGGGCTATAAGGGTAGGTTCTCCAATATAAGTTGAATCTAAGGAGACATTGTTCTCAATGTTGTCGGCAAAACCAAATTAGGGAACCGCGGGCAGACACAACTTTGGGAGCGCAAAGACGCGTAATCGATGCTGCTCAGAAATCGCACTCATTTGAGCTATGGTTACTGCAATTGCTGTCCCTTTTATTTTATGTTCAAGTCCCTTTTTTTGCTCAGCCTTACAGTTTGAGGTTTCGTCCCCCCCCCCCTCCTCGATCCTGGTTCGCAGTGTGCGTAGCGCCTTTTGTATGCCCGTTTAACCGAAGGCTTTGGTGCTCCCAGAGCGTGTGTGTGTCCTTCGCTCTATCACAATTAGTGCCCTCTGCCAATCAGGGAAGGGCGACGTCTATTGGCTCCGAGCCTCACGCAGTCCCAGCAGCGAATCGACAGAGGGCGTGAGGCGGACAGAATGGCGGGTGAACAAAGTTGCAGCGACATATACAACGGAACCGTGTCTCTGATCCCAATGGTCGCGCAGTCACGGGTCACGGAGGCCCTGATCAGTTCATGCGGAGGGGACAACAGAGCCCCTTCACCCAGAGCACAAGGCCTTGTTAGTTATTTCAGTTCTCCTGAAGAGTTTTCTATCATGCATCCTGCTGCCCCAGCCATTGTTCCCGCTAAGACTCGGTTAAGCAGGAGCCACCACCTGTTGCTTTTAATTCGACTTTGCCACGCCCCAGCCTTGCAGTACGTCTGGCAAGTATCATCATCGGCATCGAATGTGAGTTATAACTTAACGCAATATACGAGGGAGTGAGTTAAAAAAACGTTTTCAGTTGATAGCAACCACCCGAGCGATGAATTATGCAGGTAGCGCAGACAGACTTGATACTCGCTTTCTGAGGAACTGCCAAAAAAAATAATCGAGATTGTATAAGCAGCGGCAGCTGGCGTCTCGCCTTACACATACCGATCTTGCACTTACAAAATCACTGTTGTTTAAATCGATTATCTTTGAGTACAAATAGCAAGCTCAGGAACAAAGGCCTAATTCATGAGATAAGGAGGCTTTAATTATCTCCTCAGAACTGTGTAACCAATTAGGGATAGGATTGACGTCTAACCTTACTCTACAAAGTATTTACAGTTGGCTAATATGGTGTGCTTGTGTATTATCAAATTTAAATAATTCGCTTTTTGTGCACAGAAGTACGGAGGACCGGAACAGAGCTAAGTGTCCGGCGGCTGGAAATTCCAAGAAAATTAAATGTCCATATGTTCCACTCTCGGTCCATGCGTCTACCTTGACCTGAACTGACGAACATCTAAATCGTTCAATCCAGTCCGCTGGACTAAAAAGACTTTATATGCACTGGAAATTCCTGTCTTATGCGGCAAACCAATGAAGGGGCTCCAGATGACTGTAACGTGCAACGGCACGGCTGGGCTGTTTGGAATCATTAGTGCTGCATTGCCCAAAAAATTGGATCCGTACATGATGCAAAACAGAGGCAAATGATTTTGAGAATGTTACTTCGACCGTCGACTTCGACGAAATTCACCGTGTGCTCCAGAGCAGAGTGCGAGCAGGGACCGTGTCTCTGATAGTAGACATGTGCAGGATCTACTGTACGCTCTCCTCCTCCGCCAACTGGGCGGAAAAGAAGACAAGAGGTGGGAGGGGACGGTGGCTGGCGCGGCCCGAGCCACCTCTAGACCTGCCAGTGCACCCAGCTCGGATGCCACGGAGCGAGAGGGCCACAGAGGCGCCACATTAGAAAGGAGTCATTGCAGCCTGACTCCCAGTTCACCAATCGGACACTCCACACAAACACTCACACTGGGCAGACTGCGAGGTCCGAGTGTAGGGTAACTGCAAGAAGTCCCTACTGTCTAGGTTCTCACGCATCCTTTCCGCACTGCACCTGCCTTATTGGTTATTTTAAGGAGAGATGCTTCAAGAAAAAGCCCCGCTGATTCGCTTCAGCACCCGCTGCTCTAACCTCGGTTGCTACCCGCGACCCCACCCATCACCAGCCATCGAGCCCGCAGTGTGTCAAATACGACCATTGCCCACTTTTCCCCAGATTACAGACTAGCCTCTGCTCGCCGGCACGACCATCTAACATCGGCTGTAGTCAAGTCACGATCCAATACCCATGGCCCAACCGAACCCCCCAAGGCATCTACAGACTATTCATGTTTTTGAAAAGTCAACTGGCAAACATGTTTTCAGTAATTAATCATCAGGATGGGCGATTGCCCACGCGACTCTTCCATGGAGATGCAACGTTGGGTGTTCACTGACATGAAGGACAAAAAAGACGCTACAAGGACACCTTGAAGAACTCTCCCGAGCACCTGAAAATCAACCCGGAGATCTGGGAGGACCTCGTCCAGGATTGACGGGCGTGGAGAAGAACAGTGAAGGCTAGCACGCCTAAGAAGTCAAAAATGGCCATTCAGGTCTCCCTCGTCTTTGTCGGTACCGCCTTATCTACCCATACCACTACCCGTTATGCGAATATCTGCGTGGGTTCTAGTTTGGGCATCAAGACACGGCGGTACGAGCACATTCCGCAACTTGATTGGTGAACGTACATCTGCTATATGGTGGGTACCCACGCCATCAGTGAGCGTCATTTACAATACTTAATATACCCGATCGCAGACCAAAGGTCAACGAGCCAGTGAATCTGCGGTCGACAAATAACCAAAAGAACGACCACCTAGTGAGAATGAGCGACGAGTTATTACCCAGTTGATGCTTTCATAAAAACGTTGCTGGGTGTTTTCACTGATATAAAGAACAAATACGACTCTTCAAGGATGCTCTGAGGAACTCAGAAGCGCCTACAAATTAAAACGCAGACTTGAGAGGACCTCGCCCAGGATCGACAGGCCAGGAGAAGGAGATGAAGACTGGCATAACAATCTACAGAGCAAAGGGCCACAAGGGCATCTTGCATCCCACTAACACCTCGAATTCTCGACGTTAACATCCAACCCCATCAGACGCACATTCCGAGCAAGAATCTGCCTTGTCGGACACCATAGGACGCAATACAGCCACAACCCGACAATTTCAATCTGTACAACAGCCAAAAACTATCGTCAGTCGTTTCCCGCTCCCCAAGGCGACGACATTCCCGACGCTCCGCCGTTCTCGATCACCGTCAACATGCACGCCGTCGCAACCCCCGCGACGATCACTTCCACCGGCACCACAACTCATTTTGTAGCGGCTAAGCGGTGATGGTGTATTCTCTGTGCGCCACAACTTCAGGCCATATCCCAAGTTGTAAGAAGCGGGACGTCAGTTGGGTAGATTTTGTTCTGTACAAACGAATGAAAAAAATTTGGCAACCGGCGTCGCGGAGGCAGCGTCAGCGAGAGCGACGAGCCGTGTCGTCGGAGGTCACCGCTGCAAAAGTGTCGTGGCAGATTGTTTACGCAGCGGTCTAGACTGTGTCCGCCTGTGGTAAACCAATCATCGAGAGGGGTTGTCTTGATTGGCTCCGAGCCCACGCGAGGGTGGTGGCAAGCCTCGCATGGCGCAGACAGTGAACTGCAAGAGACAAATCGACGCCGGGCAGACGTGCGTGTCGAAGCAGGCCGTCGCTAGGGCGTAGGTCCAGGCGCTAGCGAGAGGCGCAACGTTGCCATTATGGCCGCCCACAACAATTCCACTCCCACCATCACTGAAAACACTCCCAAAGTCGTGTCTAATACTACAGTAGGTGGGCCAACTCGTGAAATGTCAACCGGAATTCCGAAATGCGTTTTCATTTCGAAAGGATTAACTAAGTAGGGTTGTAAGACTAAACATCGTGCGGCATAATTCTATAGTAATTCAGTTACCTTGGGATACCGGCTTTCGAATAAACTTCTTCCTGGCCGCATGCAAAAACTATACTGTGAGAAAGGGACTACTTAAGTGGCATGCATTTTCCTCATTGATTTTCGATGCTCTTAAAACATGCATAAAAATATTCATTCCTTTGCTCATTGGGTAGAAAATTACGTTTTCCAAATTGATACCCCGAGTGTATGATTCCTTGCGAATTTGTCGCACAGACATGGACAGCCAGTGCCTGGAGCGCCAACGTACAACTGACATGCACAGCCGGCCACCATATGGGTCTATTCTGTCGCACGCACCTTCCTAAAAACCTGCGTCCAGCCACCGTGGACATGATCACACCAGCGCATGCACAACGCACACACGCCTTTCGAAATCCTCCACCACCGGCACCTCTCGCAAGTGTGGTTTCTCGGTTGACACCTAGTTTTATGGCTGATGTGTCCCGCTCCACGTAAGCATGCGAATGAGTTAATGCACATCGATGCCACCCTCAACAATAGCCGGTCTATGCTTCCCAACCCTAGAATTTGAGCATACGCGTAAGTTATGTGCAAGGCGCCCGCCCCGTCTCCAGACGCCGCCTTCCTAACTTGCATGCTGCGTCCCCTGGAAAACAGCCGACAGAACGAACCTGCCAATAGTGACCCTCAGCACAGTGTGCTTGTGCGGGAATTGTCGTCGGCAAACCTCATCAAAACAAAGAATGGGGAGGGTGTGGGCGCCTCGTGCCACTCTATCAGCAGCGAGTAGGTCAGGCCTCCTAGCTCGACTTCCTCCCAACAAGCCGACTGAGAAGCCAACACAGCTGTTGCCTTTACAGATACCCGCGATCTTCCCGGCACACTCAATGTCGTTTCCTAATGCTGATGAAAGCCATAACCATGACCACTCCCCACCCAAGGAACGCAAAATAGAAGCCAAACTGCGGAACACGCATTACCCCCTAAGTAGGCCACAATACGTCCCAAACTGTGCGGTCATAATGGTTTAGTTACGTATGTGCGCCAGAGGCAGAAACAAAGCGACCAGGCGAGAAACCGACGCATTTAGTGCGCACGTTACCGCGGCGCCTGCAGAAAGTGCGCCCTTGTCGCTGGTGATAGATCGCGAACAGTGCAGGCCGTCTGGGGATGGCATGTTCACAGTTTCAGCCGAGATATTGAACTTGCGACATTTTAAGTACAGAACGCTCACTGCGACTGCACGCGTGAACGTATGCCCCGCAACCGATGAGCACGGCTGCCTTCAGCAAAGAACGCCTCTCACCTTGCATTTGCCCCACTCCGCTTTCACAGAGATAAACCTACAAAAGCAGTGGCGAGCATGCAGAAGGCAACACCTGGATATCAGACTTTCGTCACCAGGGGTAACGCAAACGAATCCACGACGGCAAGTTTGGCCGAAAGGAGTTTTGACGCGGTCCTTGTCCCTACTTGCAACACCATATATGGGCCAGAAAATTATATATTCTAGTGAAAGCACCTTGGTCACCGTAAGTTGCGCTGAACTTCAATCGGCGTGCCTACCAAAATTGACTAGATTGGATACGTATGGAAATAAACGGTGTGAGGTTATCGTGCGAAAGATAGACCCGGCCGACACCAACTGCAACCATGTATAAAAACGCGCACAGCGCGAATGCACGTAAGGACACTTGTGTACGGAGAGAGATGAGTGCAGATGAGAACAGGTGGATGGGAACAGGACATTGGCATATTCACCATTAGGGATGACGTACCAGGCGTCAACATCGAATATGGTGACAGTAGAAACAAATGAGGTATGGATGCTTGATAGTAACCATGATCAGTCAAGAGGGATTTAGCAGGGAATGGTCGAAGACCTCAACTGCTCTCACGAAATCTCTGCACCGTCCGACACGGCAGGTGAGTGGCAGAGGTCACCGACATTGATCAACATGTCATAACCATCCGCTGGCGTGGTAAATTGTCTGCGTAAAGAGACTTGCGTAGGATCCTGTAGATGACGCAAAAATCGTTGAAACAAAGCCTTGGGATGCAGAGCCAACGTCGGTGAGACTGAAAAGAAACGAATTTCTTCGACAATAGTAGGGGGGGGCCGCGTTAACGAGAATGCGGGTTGTGTGCATTGAAAGTGCTCAGCCAATGTTCCTCTGTTAATGACACATTGAATGTAGTTGAACAAATTCCTGACGCTCCTGACAGTGAAATTGTACATTGGCGCGCGCACAGGCATCTGGTCATGAAAAATAAAAGTCAGTGGGCGTGCTTGGAATGGAGGCAGCAATTGTAATGGTTTTCCTCAAAGAACCTGCCGTCAACGGGAACTATTTCTGCAGAGAGAAGTGGCGTGAAGGTCGAGAAGGCTTTCAATATCAGGGTCGTAATAGGTACATCAGCAAAGTACACATCCGACAGCAAAAGAGGGAAAACTTTGTACACGTGCGTGCGAAAGGACGAGAAGACAGAAAGTCCTTAACGACCTCATTGTCCTCGTAGTAGGCATGTTTCTTCTCATTACAGATGCTGGGGAGAGGCGGAACAATCGAGATACTGCAGACACCACAAAAGCGTCAAAAAGCTGCAACCACAACGACAGAGAGGGTGGTGCGTCCGGAAGCTGAGAAAAGAAGAGCTGGTGGTCAACCACAGAATGTTGCCGTGGGATGCAAGACAAAGACGCGCCTTACGGCCAGCCCACATTTGAGAGGCGCTGAAGCGCTCAGTTTGTATGGGTGAGGTTCGGCCGAAACTATTTTTCGAGGTTAAAGGGAGTGGTTTAGGGAGCGGATAATGACGTGCATCCATTATTGATGCATCGTAGGCTGGGGTTGGACAGTACCGCCCGAGAAGTCGGGTACATTTACTGAAGCAAGACCGGCAAAGCCCTGGTCACCCGCAGGCATGGGCAAACCCTGCTGGGCGGAGGGATTAGACTGGGATATACTTCGACCGGACGAATAAACTCCGTGGTTTAATTGAGTGGATTTGGCGGTGGCCATTTGGCTGCGAAACTGGTTGGCGCCGTAGCCAGCGTAGGCGGCACCTGCAGAAAAAAAAATATGACTTGAAAACAGACCGCCTACGCAGTAACAAGCAACAGGCGAATCATGCAACAAAAATTAGGCACAGTCAGCTGCAACTTACTAAGTGGAGTTACGATTGAAACTCGTTAGTGCAGGATCCCCTAAGAAGCGAGTTAGGACCACCTCAAATTACGATACAACGGTAACAATGTACAGGAGAACTCCTGACTTAATTAATCAAAGCGGTCAGGCCAGAAAGCAAAGGCTCCTGAGGAGAAATGTAACACGTCCGAAACAATAAGCGACTTTCGTCAAAAATATCCGATTTCCCTCTTCCCCAAGCATATGCATCCATATGCATCAGATAGCGCCTTGCAAGATAAATCCGAGTCTCTTAACGTGATTCCCGATGCGGCAGTATAAGCATGACATCTTGTTTCGCGAACAGGCACAGCCACGCACTCCCGGTCCGATATTAGCCAACGAGACGAAAGACTTATCAGGCATAAATAATCAAATTCTCTCTCTTACGAGCATGTATGTTACGATGAAAGAGGCCCAGAAAACCTAGTCAAATCTTCGATTCTGAAACGTGAATTTTACGTTAAGCACTTGCGCCTGATCAATAGGTCTCCACGCGTCGGCAGACTTCTTCCATCTGTTTGACAATGTCTTAGTGATCCATTTATGGCGGTTAATAAGCACTGCAGTTGACTGGCAATTTTACCTAGGAGCAATTTTATCAGCGAAAACAGCAGCCAGACTCGTGTAATTAAGCAGCTCTTGCCTTAAGCAGGACACGCTGTGGACTATGCATTTTTGAAAGGCATCTGCCATGTCAAGCTATCTTCTTAGGTCGGCAGAGGTTGGAAAGCAGACGTCAACACAAAGGAAAGAGACCTATGCTACAATCTATACGCAATTACATTGAGCTAGCATCGCGCTTGATGCCGTCACGACTTCCAATCTTGACAGTCGGAATTCTTGTCAGACGTGCACTTAAAACACGTATGTCAGTATACACTTAAAAGAAGGCAATTTTGTAAGCTGCATGGTCCCGCCCCCGTTTTGATTGCTGGTAGACGACTAGAAAAGCTTAAAGGGTCGCTAACAGTCTCCAAAGCGACCAGCGCAAATCCTGACTACGTGACGGCAAGCCCCCATGAGTGTCACAGCTTGCCTGTCAGATTACGTGGGAGAAATACCAACCGACCTGGTCATATTGCAGGACTGAACAAAAATGTGACTTCTTTACAAACACGCGGCGTGGTGTATTTTTATAACGAAGCAAGGCTAAAAACTAACTTTACGAAAACAAAAATGCGTACAATCTCGCGTTGACAGGTCGTAACAGTAAAACCTCTGGGCCGGAGGGAAGCTTCTGCTACATACGGTCGGACAGATGAAGAACTAAGCTAATCAGTTGGTGGACTCGGGGTGCAACTCTCAACTCCATTGCGTGTGAAATGGGGGTAGGGTTGGTCAGGTGACTACAGATGTGAAGGATGGTCAGGGCATATACTCTCCCTTTAAATGTACGATCGGTGGTTTGCCCTAAACCTCCCAGGTCAGTCTTTTCGAACGTGCATCCCAACTCAGTGGCACAACCAGCCGAATATACCCTGTTATCGCGTGTCCAATTGGTTCAGTTATCTGTCGCCCTAAATTGAGGGTTCGGATCCTTCTCCGCTTAACGACGCCAAGGCCGGCGATCGAAGGCATGGATGGGCATGAAAGCGGACCTCGAGCCCATTTCTGGTCCCAGAGTCTAGGGCTCGTGTAGTCCGGCAAGTATTCAAAAACCGAACATAATAACGTAACATTGCACCTACACTTGGCCCGTTTGTAACCATCCCCGACTTAGCTGGCTTCAATGTCACGGATTGTGCCCCTCAAAGCGCTATCACTTCCGGCAGGGGATTTGGGAAGCTTGACCTATTCTCTTCCTGATCGACGGGGGCAGAATGTCGAAGGTCCGTAGACTTTATTCGTAGTCTTCGCTATTCTTTTATGCGCACAGCCAACGACCTAAGTGTACAAGACGGTTGATCTTTGACGCGAAGATGTCACGTGGGCTATACAGACATTTTTGAGAAAAACTTGCTAACGGCATCAGTTCGTAAAGCGATGCCCTTCATACTGTCCGTTTGGGAGTAACTTTGATGATATCTATTAATCTCGAGGAGTGCCCTCTTCTGGCCAGAAATGCACCAGGGAAGGATTAGTTCTCCGGTTTTGCTGGATAAGCCAAATGAATTGGCGACGTCAGTAGCGATTACATCTTAACGCCAGCAGCGCGAAATCGTCAACTTCAGTCCGCCGACGGCCGGGAACCCTTTTTAGAATCCAGTTAACGGCGTAACATTATTGAAGACCAGACCGAATGGTTGGGAGGCATTATTATAAACCAGAACTCAAATGGTGGTTGGACGACAGCAGACCTCGACCACAGCGACGACTTGCTGACATTTTTACCCCCATCAGTCACGGGGTCTGATGAACAGAACCAGAACCGGCGGCAAATTCGCAGACTTAGACATGCCGCAGCCCGAAAATGCCTCGCAGTGTGAATATTTAATGTATTTACGTCCAGCCAGAAATTAAGATGGTTCCAACCTCCAACCCCGTAGACTTTGAAACCGCCTGGGAATGACAACGACAAGCAGATTTACAGCGGTGTCAGTGACAATATACCGCAGCATTTCCCGCGCTCACGGCCAAAACCTAATCATTAGGAATGATCTTACTTTTGGCGCTTGCCAAATCGCGTAATAGAATCAGGACGTTATAGTACACACGAGACTCGTCGGCTGCCCGTTGTTGCGCAGCCTCAGTACTGGGTCGATAAGTGTTTCCTGGCTGTACCTACACTAACTATTGGATTGGCGGCTCCAGTGGATGGGTGAAAACGGGCTGCATAGGCTGGAGGATGAGGACCCGCTGGGACACTTGAGTGCTTGCACCGACGCTCGGCGTTAGCCAACTTGTCAACAGCAAGACCGCCGTTCACATCGCGAATAGAGCAAATCGTTGCAGGGGGCCTACAGTTGTGTTCGCGGTTGACTAATTAGCCAATATTCCCCGCAAAACACGAAAATAACTTTTGTTTTAGAACCTAGCTCGCACTGTCTGGACAGACAACCGCAGTCATTGCCGCACTACTGCGTCCATCCAAGAATTCTTGCCGCTGTCTCGAGGACTGACGACTTCAAGAACGTGGGCTGCACAATATTCAAGAACCAAAAACTGCAACCACACGTTGAGGCAAAGTTAGCCTACTTTCATTTTTAAATAAAATACGCTAGGAAATTGCCGGTTGAAAGTAATTTAAACAAGAAAAGTCAGTCTAGACTTCGAGAAGGCTACAATTGCAACATCTTACCATATCCACTGGCAGTGGAGGGAGGGGCAGCACCGAAACAATCGTATCCATAATATCCATAGGTGTAGGGGTCGAAACCCTGATATGCGTTTGCGTAGTCTCCGTAAGCGTAGTTGGAATACGCGTAAGATGGGTCAATCCACCCGCAGCAATACTTCATGCCTAGATGCAAACGAACAATTGCATAACAATAGCCAAAAAACATAGACAGTTCTTACAGTTCGACGCTAAACTAACATTCTAAACACATCTACGAATTTGAACCCAAGCAATTGCCTCGCCGATAGTATTAAGGTTACTCTGATGAAGATTGTTGCGCGACATCGCGGTGGCCATTTCCACTGCAGTGGTGGGAAATCATAATTTTCTCCAAACTTGTATGAGACATACACTAATGGCGAAACGCTTGTGGTTGGTAAAAATAACCGACAGAGACACTTGTTGTCGACTACATGCGGGAGGCGGTCGCTCTGCTTCTTCTGTGGCAATGAAGTTCGGGAACCGCGCCATACTGCACATTCTTGTATGACCCGCAGGCCATATCACTTTCGATTCCTGGTACAAACGATACGAGGACTTGTTCTCTGTCGATCTGGCTGCCCAGGACGATGCATGGAAGATTCGACTTCTACTTCGCAAACTGGGTCCGGCTGAATACGAGCGTTATACCAACTTCATCCTCCCCAAGAACCCCCGAGAAGTCACTTCCAAGGACACGGTTCAGACGTTGTCGCAGATTTTTGGTGAACAATCATCCCTTTTCAACTCTCGATTTCAGTGCCTGCAACTGTGCAAACGAGATTCCGATGACTTCATCACTTATGCGGGCATTGTTAATCGTGAGTGTGGGCGTTTCCAACTCGGCTCTCTCACTGAAGACCAGTTTAAATGCCTTATATTTATCTGCGGCCTCCAGTCCCCCAAGGATGCTGATATCCGGACACGTCTCCTGTCCAAAGTGCATCAGAACAACTCAATCACACTCCAAGAGCTGGCAGCATAGTGCCACACGCTGATCAACCTCAAGCATGACTGCAATGATTCACAACCCTGCCTCATCTTTCTCAGTCCATTCGTCACATCAACCAAATCGCGGCCCAAACAAGTGTCCAAGGCGGGATCTCCGCCATCCCCTTGTCGGCACTGTGGTACGTGGCATTTCCACCAAGATTGCACTTTCCGCCAGCATCGCTGCCAAAGCTGTAATCAGGTGGGACACCGTGATGGGTTCTGCAAATCGAAACCACCTTCTGGAAGTAAGTCAGCCCCCGCCACTTCTAATTCCAGGCGCCGTTTCCGGCCAAAACGCAAGTCCCAACACCAGTCCGTTGGTAATTCTCTCAGTCTCTTGGCTGCCTTTCAGCTCAATGCGTCTGGTCGTAGAAAATTTGTTGACGTTTTGCTCAATGGCCATGCAGTTCGCCTACAGTTGGACACTGCCTCAGATATCACCATCATCTCTGAGAGACTGGCAGTCCCTTGGCAGCCCACGATGCAGCAGACTTCCCAGTCCGCAGCTTGAAATCTCGTGGAGCGTATACGCACTCGATCCTTGTCCCCAAAACCAACGCGGCAGAGGAGAACGCGACCGGCCACGAAAGTGTGTATTAGGAAATCGCAAGTCAAAATTAACTGGATGTAACGCATATTTATAACGCTCTACTGTGCTTCGCCCGCATTCGCCCCAATGTCCTTCGGGAAGAACATTCCAGACGAGCCGGTCGATAATTCGAATATACAGATCGATCAAGCCCGAGAGGAAAAGCCAACGGAGAGGAGCCACGATTAAGATGGCAGCGCAGTAGAGAAAACGCACGTGGCCTCCCGTGATTGGCTGGTTCTTGTTTTTGGGAGTGTAGGCACTCCCAACACTAGCACGGTATCTCAACGACTGTCTGGCTTATCCTAAACTCTGAATATTTATGTAAACATTTCATCAATGGAAGAAGTCTATCTGAATGCACAGGACACAGAAACAAAGGACCAAACACCACATGAAACTTTACATGCAGCATGAGAAACTGTCGTAAAGCCTAAGAAACATGACATGAAGCTGTAGTGTTTGCCCTTGGAACCATGATAAAAGACGAGCAATGCTTACCCTTGTTTTTATTTGCCTGTTCCCGAGTCACAGCGACACGTACGTCACACTAAGCAGAAAGGCAAATTGATTAATTAAAATTATCAAGAAAAATCAAAAGTTGGACAAAAATACGGTAAACTGCTTCATTACGAAACTCCATTACTGAAAAAAAAACAGTTCGAAACGTATTTTGTTGTTTACGAAAGAGTCCAGTTACGAAAGGTATTTACGAAACAGTCCAATTACGAAAGTTGTTGAATGTTACGTTATTACCCAGAACCGAGCTCTCTAGGAAAAAACAAGACTCACAAAAGGGTCAGAATTGTGTGCGTGCGCGCGCGCGTACGTGCAACGGGCAGCTGCTGCTGAACGCGCACAAAAGGGGAATATTCTCAACTGATCCTTTTTTCCTCATCACTGGTGTGGCAGAACAACACACTGCGACACCAGTTCTGGTCCGTGAGATGCGGGCAATTGCTCTCTCCTTCGGGAACGCGCGTCAGAAAAGCTGATAACCACCACCACCACCTTGACGAGACGACCAGCTACCCGGATGGAGAGACCCATCATTAGAGGGGCAGAAAAGGAGCAAACAAATCATGGACACTGGCGAATGAACGCACACAGGCATACACACAGCATAAACACATAGACATACAAGCCGGCGAACTTCAAGAATGGACATTAACGCGCGCACTCACGCTGGTAGGTATCCATCGAATAGCAAAAAATAAACCACACCACACCTAGTTTGACACGAGACTTTAATTAGTAAATTAGCCTCGGAATTAAATCGGTTTTGCACTAACTGAAACGTGACGTCAGCGCATAATCGCGGTAGACTTACAAATGCTATCAAGTGTTGGGTCTTCCGCGTCATTTTACCCTCAAAAATTTCGGGCGACATCGAAGGAAACCGAGCCATCGAAAATGCCTCAGTAGGTGGGGTGGTCGAAGAACACTGCTCGTCTTCCCTGGTCTACGCTGGCTGCCGGTAGCGTACTACCGCTAAAAAGTGATTCTGTGACGGCCGGTCAGTCATCAACAATAATCCGGGAAGACTCACGACTACTCACTCGTCCGAGGACATAGAAACGAGATTTCGAGCCACCGTGGCAAAATAAAATTCAAGTATAAAGGCGGACGGAAGAAGCAACTGACATGATTTTGCCTGGAATAAGTAGGAATTAAAGCCTTACGCGTTTTACAGGAACGCGAACAAACAAAATTGCGAAAGGTGGACTTTCTTGAGCTAAGATAATAAAATGACCTAACGAATGCGTTCTATAGCAAACTTTTGTGGCATTTGATCCTGCGTCTTGTTGTACATCGAACTCGTGTTAGCAGAGGCAAAAGCTAGAAGTGGGGTTAGCACTTTGTCCACCATACACTACATTCTTGCATAAAGCTTCAAAGTACGGACTACATACCAAAGCATTGTTAAAAGCGATAAAACCTAAGTAGCATGACTGAAGAAGCACATTAAGAGAAACTGCAGACGAAGGACAACTGAGATACCTGACGACCATAGATTTCCTGGCGGTCCTTGGCAATAGCCTTTTTAGCCGCAGCCTCCGTGGCAAAGCTAACAAAGATGTAATGTTTCCGCTTTCCACGCTGGGCATCGTATGGGAGATCGAGTGACTCCACCTTCGAAAGATCAAATGAAAAGGACAGCTCACCTGGCCGAATTGCCCGAAATACTCCATTATATCATCTTTGGAGAGGTCAGGATCTATGCCTCCGACAAAGATCTTTTTAATAACCTCTCTGGATGGTTTAGCCCTCTTTGGATCAATTCTTTTGTTCTTCAGCTTATGCTCCGGGACACTAAGGACCTTCGGTGCCATTAGCAAAGAAAAGGCAGGCAAACTTTATTCACAGACTCCTCATTCTCAAATGTCACAAAGCCAAAACCTCGTGAATTCCCAGTAAACCTGTCCACTTTAATTATGCAGCGAGTAACATTTCCCCACTGAGAAAAATAGGCTTTGAGATCGTCTAATGGAGTAAATAATGCAAAACGAAGCAACACCTTCATTGGTCTCCCAACTCAAGCCACCAACGAACAATTTTCTGCTTATGGTCAACAAGAGTCAATACAAAAAATACCTTGAATCGTCATCGGAGTCATCCTGCGGTGCGCCATCTCCACTACCATCCGCAATCTTATCTGCAGTGCTTTCGGATTCATTTTCGGCCTGTGTATTATCGGCATTTTCAGTCTTCTCCGTCGCATACACCGGAGATCCTTCGAAGTCAGATGCCATCGCCCAACGTGCGGCAAAATTTAATGGAGGCCGTTAATTATAAGGGTTCGATGATTAAAACAAGGTTCGGAACACAGCGAAACAAGCAAGTTTACGAGGTCTACTCTGCTAAGATGCCAGAAAACCATTTGTATTAAAACTCTGAGCGAATCTTCGGAGCATTATCAAGCTTTATGTTTACGAACATTTAATTCCAGTCCATCCAGCACTTAAATATGGGCCAATAAGCCACTCCTATTATTTTGTTAAAAACAATGCATTTTTTCAAAAATAAGTATGGTTCATCAGAAGAGATTCTTTGGAATGCTTATGTTTCGGAAAATTAAATAGGACCGCCAGTTTCAAATACATTTAATCTCAAAGAGATAGAAGTGGCATGGCGTGCCAGTCAGTCTCATGCTGATGAATTTTCTTTCATCTTTCGCCGGCTGCGGTTGACACAACTTGCATGTTTAAAAGAAAACTTGCTCATCTAATTTGCGACCGAAAGCGGCTTTCACAGCATGACTACCCACAGTCAGTTCTGTAAAACACTGTCATATACAATCCCTCCGCACCAACTTACGGTGCCCTGATGCACTTCCTTATCATTACGATTGTACGGTAACCCGATCACATTGCAAATGCCTTCAATTTTATTTTGAGTGCGAATCTGCGAAAGCATTGTACATAAATAGGACCATCAAGGGCCCTGCCTCTAACCCTCCAAATTTATACGCATACGCACATATACTTGACGACTACTAGAGCAGGTTCATTTCACCGGTTAAAAGAATCATGGGTTTAAATTGTCCACTGTGAAAAAATGGAAACAAGCAAAAGTCCATTTTGAAGAAACCGAAAGCTACAACTCCCCTTTAATAGCAACAATAATACTGTTCGTTTTCATTTAGCCTCATGCGTGCTACTGAGCGGAAGAAAATAGAATCCGTTCAACACTTTTTTACTAAGAGAATTTTAACCCCAGAACACCGACATTTGTCTTACCAAGAACGTTGCCGGCTTACAGGCCTCGATCCTTTATGGTTCCGTAGATTACAAAAGGGACTATTTTTGCTATTTAAACTCTTATATAATCACACATTTAACCCGCTCACCTCTTTAAGACATCATATCCACCCACGACGTAACAGTCACCGTGAGCTCCTTTTATTTCTTCCTCTGGCACGTACTGTTAAATATCGTCGGTTCTTTTCTGTAAATGCAATTGCTATTTGGAATAAACTACCCATGAGTGTGAAAACTCTGCAAAATTATCCTTTATTTAAGAGAACTATTACTCGATTTTTGCATTCAGAAAAGCTCCCACAAATTTTTGGTGCTGAATCTACTGATCGACTGTACCGTAGCGATGGCGTTTGTGGTCTCTGAACACTATGGCCGGTCTCACCAGCTGTTCCTCGACGCCTCTACTTTGACTATCCCCAACTTCATGAAAGGAATTTGACGTCCGATAATCTCCGATACCGTGCAACCTCCCCCCTTCTTGACGGTCGATATTCTACCACCGCCGACAGTTTTTTTCTCCTGAGCCCTCCAAACCACAAAAACCACCATCAACTATATTTTTATGCCTTAAGCTCAGGAGTTTTTTTTCACTGCTGGTCGGATTTGTGTTTAATCGCTTCCCTTGACAATGCCTGTAAAATGGCATTAAATTAAAATTTATAATTTATAATTTAATGTGTGGAGACGATTTCGACTAATGGAGAGTTCCGAAAACTTTCAGGAACACCAATGACAGGGTATGTGTGTAAACGTGGTGATAATAGGCTTCGAAGGAACTATAAACCATGCATATTAAAGAACTCTTTAGAGCTTTCTAAGATTCCATACGATTACGTGCATAGTGGCAAGAGAATTTGTGACCCGACTCCGACGCTGAGGCTCCAAAACGGAGTAACGAAAGCAGATGACCAAATGGAAGCACCAGTTTTCTCCAAGTCCTTTCAGTAGGTATTCAGTCGTGAAACTA